CAGTCTCTGATGGAAGGAGAGGGGAGATGGGAATCAGGGTCCCTGGTAGAGGCGTATGCTGAGAGGGTCACTGTTGGGGACTAGAGGGATCTGTTGCTCATAAAGTTTAAGATGACATATTCCTCTCTTGTATCCTTTCCTCTAAAGGTCCTTCAACAGGCCCTAGAAGAATTTGGAGAACCCTGGGACCTCAACCCTGGAGATGGTGCCTTCTATGGGCCTAAGGTAAGCTGGGGACCGTGGTTAGAGTCTTATTTATTCCTTTTTTTGTTTTGTTTTATTAACTGTTTAATAGATACGAAGGAATGTTTTTAAATTTGTGTAAGATATAAAGAAGAGCAATACATCTCCTGCTCTCATGGAACTTAGGTCTGGTGAGGGCTCTGAGAGGTAAATAGAGTGTTTCAGCACCGTGGGATCAGTGCTGTGTAGGTACTAAGGGGGCACGTTACTCAGGAGGGTCAGGAAAGGCTTCCCATAGGAATCTCTTTCCGATCTGAAAGGTAATCGTTGGCCAAGTAAAAAGGTGCTTCAGGAGGGAATGTTGGGGGCTTCCCTGGTGGCGCAGTGGTTGAGAGTCTGCCTGCCGATGCAGGGGACACGGGTTCGTGCCCCGGTCCGGGAAGATCCCACATGCCGCGGAGCGGCTGGGCCCGTGAGCCATGGCCGCTGAGCCTGCGCGTCCAGAGCCTGTGCTCCGCAATGGGAGAGGCCACAACAGTGAGAGGCCCACGTACAGGAAAAAAAAATAGGAGGGAACGTTGTAGGCAGATCCTGGGGCGAAGAGTAAAAACTCACATGGCAAGTTGGAAGAGGTGAAAGAAGTCGGGGAAAAAGGACTGTAAAGTGTCTGCTGGATTTAGTGAAAAGGCTGTTAGGTTTTGAGGGTCCATTTTTCAGTAAAGTGGGGACTGGACGTGGAGTCAGAAGTGAATGAATGAAATTAACACTTCCAAGAACATTGGCTCTTATAAAGGCAAAGGAGAGTAGCTGGCAGATCGAAAGAGATGTTGATGAAGGGAGAGACTTGAGAATGTTTAAATGCCATGATGAGAGGGAGCCTGTTTGGGTCAGGGAGAAGTTGAAGTTGTAGAAGGGGTTTCAGTAGAGGAAAGTTTCTGGGGAGTCTTGAGGGTTGGGATCCAGAATGCTTCACAGAAAGAAGCACCTGTGCTGTTGTTTAAGGGGTAGAAGGAAAGGCTTGGGGGTAGGTGCCAGGATATTTATAGGTGTGGTGACAGAAGTTGAGACATTTTCCCATCTCATGATACCAACTATCAGAATTCTCCATGAGATGGGAGGCAGGATCATTTGCTGAGATAGGAGTGGAGAATAGGAGAGTTGTCAGTGCGGGGGTTGAAGATGGGAAGAGAGGAGAAAGCTTGAAAATCCTTGAGGAGAACAGGATGCAGAGCTGATTAGGGCAGCCAGAGGATTGCAGGCAGCAGCCAGGGTTCAACTGAGGTTCACAACAGCGACTTGCATCAGTTGCTGTGTTTGCGTCTGTGTGGCATGTGGCGTGTTGGGCAGCACTGGGCACTTCTGTTCCAGGGCCAAGGAGGTGGGATGCTAGGGTGCCACCAGGGTGGGGTTTTGTCATGTGGATGTGACAGAAGAACAGTGATACCAGGGAACCAGGGAGAGTGGTTACAGCTGCATGGGGAAAGAAACAGGGGTGGGAGAGGCTGAGAGGCCTGTGAATGGGAAGAAAAATGAGGAGTTAAGGAGCCGAGAGATTGAAGAGCCATTAATAGGAATAATTGTCAGAGCTGGAAGGACAAGAGATAGTAATCAGAGCAGGTGTCTGATGGACTGTTTCAGAGGTGCAGCCATTCTGGGCGATGACAACATGAAGGATGTAGCCATAGTGTGGGCACAGATGAAGGTCTCTGAGATGAGGAACTCTGGGAATTGAGAGGCCAGGGTGAGGATGGGCCGTTCATGTGAATGTTGATGTTCCCTAATAATACACCACTATTAAGTGGAAAGAGCCACCGCCAGAGTCTGCAGCACGATGCAGCTGGGTGACACGTCTCTCCACACAGCCTGGGATGTGGCTAGGTAGAAGGGGGTGGCACGCATAATGGAGGATACTGGTTCTGGTTTCTTTCGTGTCCTCCCTTCTGTCTCCTCCAGATTGACGTGCACCTCCGCGATGCCCTGGGTCGGCCCCATCAGTGTGGGACAATCCAGCTTGACTTCCAACTGCCCCTGAGATTTGACCTCCAGTACAAGGGGTACAGAACCTTGTCCTGTCCCCTTTTCCCTTGGCCCGTGGAATAGGTGGAGAACAACTTCCCTTTCTGCCTTTGACCCTAAAAACTAAACCACATCCTCCACACCCTCCCTTGCCAGGGCTGAAGATTCTTGGAAACTGGAAGGTGATCTTGGGTGCACATTGTGTGACATTTTTCCATTCCATCCACCCCCCCTCCCCTTTCCCTCCAAGGCAGGCGGGGGCCCTGGAGCGTCCAGTCCTCATTCATCGAGCAGTGCTGGGCTCTGTGGAAAGGATGTTGGGAGTGCTGGCAGAAAGCTGCGGGGGAAAATGGTAAGACCTCTGACTCCCGATTCCTGTTCTGGCCCTCAAGCCAGGTAGTGCGTGCTCCACATCCTGGCTCCCTTCAGACTCCACTTCTGTTTCCTTCTAGAATCTGCTCCCTACATCCACACTTGGGGTCTGAGCCAGGATAAATAATTTGCCTTCCTCTGTTCTCTCAATCAGGCCACTATGGCTGTCACCATTCCAGGTGGTGGTCATACCTGTGGGGACTGAGCAAGAGGAATATGCCAGGGAGGTGAGGAGTTAGGGGTGAGGATGGGGACGAGCAGTGGGGTAGCAGAGGCCATATGGGGTAATGAAAGGGGCACGGCACTTGGAATCACAAGACTGCACTCAAATTAATAAATGTGGAATGCTGACAGAGCACTTGGCACAAAAGGGGGCTTGGAGAAATGTTTGTTTTATTTTTCCTTTCTAGAGAGAAGTAAGGATATGGACAGTACTAGAGTCGAGCAGCTGGTTGGGTAGAGTGGTGTCTAGAAACAGGCAGAGTCCAGGGGGGCCTGGCTCCAGGAGGAGGCCGACAAGGAGGCTGTGGGGCTGGGGAGAGGCCTCAGTGTAGAGAGTGAGGAGGGTTTGTCCCTGAGAACTGGAGAGCCTTGAGGCAAAGGAAGGAGGGGCAGATGGGGGAGCTTGGGGAAAACTGGCATCAGACTATTCTAGCTCCTCAGCCTTCCGTTAAATCAGGTTCCTGTCAATGATCCTCTACCCCAGGCACAGCGGAGCCTGCAAGCTGCAGGACTGGTTGGCGACCTGGATGCTGACTCCGGACTGACCCTCAGCCGGAGGATCCGCCGGGCTCAGCTTGCCCACTACAATTTTCAGTTTGGTAAGACCGGGTTAGCACAGCCCTCAGAGCCTTGCACTCTTCCACTCGGCCTGTATGTTGTTCTTCCCTGTCTACTACGTTTGGTCATCCGCATATTTGGGTAAATTGCAGCTCATTACCTGAGCTGTGCAGGAGCCAGGATTGAGAACTCCTGAGCCATTTGGACTCTAGGCTCCTTCACCCCCTGACCAGCACCTCTGACCCTCAGAACAGTTTTCTTCTGACCCCCGCCCTAGCTCTTGGTGTCTGTTAGTAATTAGCCAAGGGAGCATCAGAAAGGAACAGGAAGGGTTAATAAGGCATTAATTAGTTAGCTTTGCTTATTCTAGACCTAGATAGAGTCAGCCCTAAGGGATGAGGAGAAAGGCCTTAAGAAAAATAGTCTAGGCCTACCTTGCTCCTTTTTTTCATTTTCCAAGGTTCAGAGCTCTGTCTTGAAGGCAAGGAGTAGGAATGTCTCAGCCAGATTACCTGGTTCTCTAGTTTTACATATCCACTCATCCTGCCAGCCTTGGAGCAAGCTGCCCATGATCCCTTGGACTTGCACGTGTGTCATCCACCCTGCCACCCTCCCCTTTCTCTAAAGTACACACACACACACACACACACACACACGCGCGCTCTCTCTCTCTCTCTCTCTCTGTGGATCTGCTTCTTGATCTGTTTGTCTTTCTTTGGCTGACCCTACTATCTCTGACCCCTGGGATCCTGAGTGGAAGTGATAAGGCATGTAAGAGAATGTCTGGAATATTTCTTTATCTCCTCAGGATGACCAGGGAACTGGAGAGCAAGAGATAGCTAAATATATCCTTTCCCGGAACCATGTCTGAGCTCTGCTCTTCCTAAAGATTTCGGTCTCTTAAATTTCTGCATAGCAAAAGGAGATATCCTCTGGATAAATTTGCCCTGAGATTCGCAAACCTCCCCTCTTTCTGCAGTGGTTGGCCAGAAAGAGCAGAGTAAGAGAACAGTGAACATTCGGACTCGAGATAATCGTCGACTTGGGGAACGGGACTTGGTCGAGGCTGTACAGCGGCTACTGGAGCTACAGAATACCAGGGTCCCAAACGCTGAAGAAATTTTCTGAGCTTTTGTGTATAGATGTGGCAAAGACCTGTAGGAGCTATCAGGCCCCCTTAACACGGAGGGGCCCAACCTAACTGACAAGAGTCTGAAGTCCCCCAGACCCCTCAGAACTCGTGTGGAGGCATGAATCTGCTCTCATGGAAAGAGATTTGGTCTGGGGGAAGCTGTAGCTGTTTGGATGTGAGGAGAGTGAAACTAAAAATAATAAACTTGAAGCTACTGGGAATGTGTCTTCATCTCTGACTCCTGATGGGGACATAAAAGGGAGTTTGACTCTGTCTCCCACTCTTTTGTCCTAGGGGGTTGGGGTAATTGAAAAGGGGCTCTCACTGGTCAGGGAGCTCCCTGGGATAGCGTCCTGTTCCCCTGTCTAAACTCCTCAGTGCCCTGTTTCCCCAGCCCCAATTCAGCAGGTTGTCAGATCCATTCTCCAAAGAAGGCCAAATGGAGAAATTGAGGCACAAAACAAAGTCTCAGACCTCTCTTGCTCCAGGATTCTCAGAATCAGTTTCTCTTGGGGTTGGGTTCACCATTGTTCTCAATCCTGTCAGGAGCCTTCAGGGTGTGTGGGAGGAGTGTCTGCCAGAGGAGGAGCAGCTGGGACTGAGTCATGGCCGGATGCTGAGGAGGGCGGTAGCTATCCCCAGATAGACTATAAAGAGGAGAAGGAACCAGCCCTGAAGTTCACAACAGCAGTAACAGCAACTGGAGAAGCAGGTTTCCAGAAGCCCGGCTCTTCAAATCAGATCTGCCTGAGAGGACCTACTTGGGTGGCCGCTGACCAGTCCTTGCCCCAGGATGGGGACCACGTCCAGAGCAGCCTTGGTCTTGGCCTGTTTAGCTGTTGCTTCTGTAGCCTCTAAGGGAGGTGAGTTGGGGTCAGAGCCAGCACTTGGAAAGGGGGCCTGGCCAGCATGGGCCTGGGGCCTGGGTCCGGCCATCCCAGATGGCTCATCACCAGCAAAAGGGTGCCCCATTTGGCTGCCTTTTTCTGAGCAGGCCTGTGGTGAGCCTAGGCACTGGAGCCTTTAACCAGGGAGGGGAGCAGGGGTACAGAAAGAAAGGAGTTCCTAGAGATTGCTGCCAAGAAACACATATTGGAGTCAAACGGACAACTGCGGGGGTGGATGGATTCACAGAGTGAGGGGCCTGATGTATATGTGGCACCTATTAGCCAGAAGTGAGAAGAAGAGGAGCTCCCAGGCTGCTCAAAACCAGTCTGCTGACCCAGAGAGCCTTGACTGGCTCCCTACCTGGTTAGGAGAAGAGAGGGCATCATCCATCTACAGGGGACCAGGCACAGCCACTTTCTAGCTCACACACACGTTATCTGCTTGGATGCCAAACAAAACGTTACTGTGGGAAACTATTGCATGTGTGTCATAGATCTAATCTATCTGGAAGGCCCTGTCTTGTCCTTCCCAGGTCCTGGTCTTTTGTGACTGCAGATCAGCTACAGGTGATTACTTTCCCTGTGGCTTTCTCTTACATGCCTTTCTCTTTTCTAGTTGTGGCGCATAGGCTCCAGGGCACATGGGCTCTGTAGTTGTGGTGTGCAGGTTCCAGAATGCGTGGGCTCTCCATATTGCCTCAGGAGTCCTGAACCATCCCAGTTTCCCAGGTCCTAAATTGAGACCTGAACTAAGGGGGATCTGAGACTAGCTGAAGGGGAGGCACTTCAACTTCTGCGTGGGCTCCTTACCAGAAGGCCCAAAGATGTTTAAAGGGCCTGTGGTAGGCAGGAGGGTGGAGGAGATGGGCAGGTGAGGCTCCAGCCAGTTCAAGGTCTGGACTGTGGAGAGAGCCCAGAAGCTGTAAGGGAAAGACACTGACACAAGATTAAGGCCTTCCTCCCCAGCCCCATGTGTCACACTCCCTTTAGGCCTGGACTTGGGAGAGCCAAGGCTTTGAGCATGGTAGAGGTGAGGCTGTCAGATTATCACACCCAATCGGCCTTGACCAGGTGTGTTTCGGGGGTGGCTTAGGGGACATGGGGCAGGAGCAGTACAGAGAGGCTTCTGGTGTCTTGGTCATCTTTTCTAAGCTCTTAACCTCTACTGCCTCCCCTTCCCATGCTCAGGGCCAGGAAAGGGCCCCTCAAAACCACCCCTGACTTACCCTTCCTCTTCCAGGCATCAAGGCTTCAGGGCAGAGGGAGCTGGGGCCAGTGCACCTCACCCACCCCCTTCAAGAAGGTAAGAGTTTGGGGGAGTGGCATGGGATTGGGGTTCCAGGAGGAAATGTAGGCTCTGACCATCTCCCTTCTTGCCAGTAGTTGGCTATGCTGCACCCCCTTCCCCACCTCTGACCAGAGCTCTCCCCATGGATCACCCCGACACCTCTCAGCATAGCCCTCACTTTGAAGGACAGAGTGAAGGTAAGTCTCAGTTGCACCTCTAGGTTTCTAGTCTGACTTACTTCCTGATCTTCAGAATGGGAGGGGAAGAAGGAGTGGGCTACTTAACACACTCCGCTTTCTGTAGTACAGCCATCTCCATCTCAGAAAGCCATCCCTGTCCAAGAGGAGCTGCCCCCTCCCCAACTCCCTGTGGAAAAGAAAGGTGAGTGCTTGCCCTTTCCCTCACTTCCACCCACTACATCTTGCTGACATCAGCCTGAGCCTTGCTCTTTTGTGTCCTCACCCCTATCTTGCAGAGGATCCGCCTCTCCCTCAAGAGGCCGTCCCCCTACAAGAAGAGCTGTCCCCTCCCCAGGTCCCTATTGAACAGAAGGAAGGTAAGTGACTCCTTCCCCTCTTTACCCTCCTGCCTACCCGTGGCTGACAGCATGGGCTTTGGGGCTTCTGCCACTTACTAGCTGTGTAATAACCTTGGGTAAGTTACCTCTCTAAGCCTTAGTTTATTTGTAAAATTGGGGAAATAATACCTATTTTATAAAATTATAAGATTACATGACACAAAAGTAGCATTTATTTTCACTTCTCTATTGAGTTACTTTTTTTTTAAAGCATATGCTATTTCTTTTTTTTTTAAATTTTATTTATTGATTGATTTTGGGCTGCATTGGGTCTTCGTCGCGGCACGCAGGGTCTCTGTTGAGGCATGTGGGATCTTTCGTTGCAGCATGCAGGTTTCTCTCTAGTTGTGGCGTGCGGGTTTTTTTCTCTTTTCTAGTTGTGGCGCATAGGCTCCAGGGCACATGGGCTCTGTAGTTGTGGTGCGCAGGTTCCAGAATGCGTGGGCTCTCTAGTTGAGGCGTGCGAGCTCAGTAGTTGTGGCATGCAGGTTTAGTTGCCGTGTGGCATGTGGGATCTTAGTTCCCTGACCGGGGATCGAACCCGCGTCCCCTGCATTGGAAGGCGGATTCTTTACCACTGGACCACAAGGAAAGTCCCTCTATTGAGTTACTTTTTATGAATGGGAACTGGCCTGTCTTCTAGAGATGCCCGTCCCAACATGAATGTTGTTTTACGCATCTCCTTCTACCCGAGTAGACCCATCTTTCCTTTATCAAGAGGAGATGACCTTCCAATCTAAACAGAGAGAGAGTGAGTGACAGCTTTAGTGTGTCCATCCCCCAGCTTTAATGCTCAGACCCTGGTCGGGGTAGTGGGGTGGGGGAGCAGGTATTCTGAGCCTTGGGAAGCAGCAAAGGGAGCAGGCGTGATTCGGGGTCAGGGAGCTATAAGGGTGACACCTTTCATGACTCAGGTCTCTTCCTTTTGGTCAGTCATTCTGAAGTTAAGAGCCACGAATTCATTTGTCCCCTTTTCCTCTATATCCTCCCAACACTTTCTCCTCAACCCCAACTTCTTTCAATCCTCCCAGCTCAATCCAGCCTTTCTCTATCCCTCTGCATGTTCCCCCTTCCCACTCTGTTCTCCCCATTCTAGAAAAGCTGGCTCCCTTCATGGACTACAGCCCCCCAGAGCCTGAGTCTTCGAATCCAGCCCAGCACTGCCAACAGGGTGGACACCAAGGTGGCTGGGGCCACCGGCTGGATGGCTTCCCCCCTGGGCGGCCTTCTCCGGACAATCTGGACCAGATCTGCCTTCCTAATCGTCAGCATGTGGTGTACGGCCCTTGGAACCTGCCACAGACTGGCTTTTCCCACCTTGTTCGTCAGGGTGAGACCCTCAATTTGCTGGAGACTGGATATTCCCGCTGCTGCCGCTGTCACAGCTACACAAACCGCTTGGACTGTGCAAAAGTCACGGTAAGGGTTGGGCTCTTGATCCTGGGGATGTCCTTTAACCCCCAGACAGTATGTGTGTGTTTCAAGGACTAGAGGCCTAGGCCTGGGTATGCAGGAACCTCAGGTCCCTTTCATTGGCCCTACCTTGGGCCTCCTCATTGTGCCAGAAGAGCAGAGGACAGCCTCTGCCTCTTTATTATCTGCATACCCAGGGTCCTTTTTGGAGCCTGGGAGGAAAACAGGTATGTGGAGAGTGGGCTACCAGGCTGATCTACTCCTCTTGCTCTAGTGGGAGGACGCAATGACCTGGTTCTGTGAGGCTGAATTTTCTGTTAAGACCCGACCCCATTGGTGCTGCAAACGTCAAGGGGAGGCTCGATTCTCCTGCTTCCAAGATGAAGCTCCCCGGCCACACTACCAGCTCCAGGCCTGCCCCAGCCACCAGCCTGGTATTTCCTCGGGTCCTGAGCTGCCTTTTCCCCCTGGGCTACCCACACTGGACAATATCAAGAACATCTGCCACCTAAGACGCTTCTGCTCTGTGCCACGCAACCTCCCAGCTACTGACCCCATCCAAAGGCAGCTGCAGGCTCTGACCCAGCTGGAGGGGGAGTTCCAGCACTGCTGCCGGCAGGGGAACAACCACACCTGTACATGGAAGGCCGTAAGTGGGCATCCCAGCATTCTGAGAGCCTGTCTGCCTGCCCTCCTGTCTCTGACCTCTGATCCCACCAGCCTATTTATCATCCATGTACCTACCCGCTGTGAGCATGTCTGCCCATTCATCTGCTTGTGAATGTCCGTGCATCCACTGTGTTCTTTGTCTGAGTTTGTTCATCGTGCACTTTCATCCTGCACTCCTGGCCTCGTCCACCCAATACCCTACACATGTACCTGTCTGCCATCTATCTGTTCAGCTCTGGCCTCACCTGACCCTCTGTGTCTACCGTTCCAGCACATCTCCTGTGGCCAGCTCCGAACCTCATCTGTTGTTCTACCCTTCCACCTTCCCAATCCCATACATCCACAGCTGCCTCCTTGCCCTCTGGTTCTTTGCCCTTCCCTTTTGGCACCTGGGGCTGAAAGTCCCTCATCTCATAGCGTAGGGCAGTGAGGGAAGCAGTGGGTCAGGAGGGCCAAGTGTCCAGGCTTCTGATTTTCCTTTCTCTGGCCCACAGTGGAAGGATACCCTTGATGGCTACTGTGATCAGGAAAAGGCTACAAATACCCACCACTACTCGTGTTGCCACTACCCTCCTAGCCCTGCCCGAGATGAGTGCTTTGCCCGGCAGGCTCCCTATCCCAACTATGACCGGGACATCTTGACCCTGGACCTCAGCCGAATCACCCCCAACTTCATGAGTCATCTCTGTGGAAATCAAAGAGTTTTCACCAAGCAGTGAGTCTTGCCCAGTTCTTCCCCAACTCTTTTCCCTTCTCCAAAACCTCCCTTTTGGGGCACCCTCTGGGGCACTCTTGGGAAGAGCAAAATTATGGTCTGCAAGCACCATTTTGATGCCTGGAGACACCCAAAGACCCTGACCCCTACCTGTTTCCCACCAACATAGTAAGCAGATTCCTGGGCTGATCCAGAACGTGACTGCCCGCTGCTGTGACCTGCCGTTTCCAGAGCAGGCCTGCTGTGCTGAGGAGGAGGTGAGTGTGAGGGCAGGGGGTCATAGTCTCCAGAGGAACGCAGAGGAGGGGAGAGAGAGGGCTGGAACTGCAGGATACCCCTTCTTTTAGTACCTCAAACCAGCCCATAGAAATAATGAGGACTACTGGGGAGATCTTTTTTCTTGGTTCCAGGAGTCTTCTCTCCTCACCTGACCTGCTCCCCATCTCTAAGTGCCTATTATGCCTTCTCTGGGCCTCTAGCTTCTGGCATTTCCAGATGTTCACATCTGTCCATCACACGGAGTCTAGCTGTGGAAGGCAGCCTTGTACTCTCTCTGAGCCCCAGAAGGGATCTAGGGAGAGAGCAGTAGAAACTGAGGGAAGGGGGACTTTGGACATCCAAGTAACCAGGCCTGACCTCTGACAACCTTCCTCCCCTATCATGTCCGCTTTACTCCTTCATCAGAAATCATCCTTTATTGATGACCTGTGTGGTCCCCGACGTAACTTCTGGCGAGACTCTGCCTTCTGCTGTAAACTGAGTCCTGGGGATGAACAGATCAACTGCTTCAACACTAATTATCTGAGGAATGTGGCTCTAGTGGCTGGAGACATTAGGGATGCCAAGGACCAGAGGGAGCAGGGCCCAACTTGGGGAACAAATATCAGCCCCACCCCTGAGCCCAAGGAAGAGTGAGTCACCCCAGAGCCTTGGAGGATCAGATTGGGGGACCCCATCCCACCCTCCTGGAATACTCATTACAGTAAACACCTCTTGGATTTGGCCTCATTGTGTCTGTTGTCTCACACAAACGCACCCTCCTAAGCCTGCCCGATTTTCTTCAGTGTCTGGCCCCTGAGGCCCACTGCCCCACCCCCACTAACTGAGCTGAAGTCTTTCCACAGGCTTTGTTGGGACCAAAACTAAATGGTTTAACTTCAGTATTTGTCATCTTGAATTTATTCACACATTTAAAAGGTATGTCACTTTGTTAGCTGGCTATCAGGATTCAGAAGTGAAAAAGATATGATTCATGTCTTTGGTGAGCCCCCGAAATGCACAGTCCTGCCTGACATTTTTTAATCTTCACTTCTGATCCTTGGAGTCCATGTGTTTATTCATTCAGTATACATTGATTGAACTGTCGATGTGCACTGTGCTAGACTGCAGGATACACATTCGGAAAACATACAGTTCCTTCCTTCAGGTTGCTCACATTCCAGGAACCTAGCAGGTGTGATTAGTGTTGTGGTACAGGGCTGCCAGAGTGCCAGTATGCTCAGAGCACTTGATAACCGGGCCAGAGCTGGGAGTAGGGCTGGGGGCAGTAGGGGTGCACCAGGGAAGGCCTCTGCAGGGGTGAGGTCGGAGCTTCTCCAGGAGAAGTAGAGGGTACAAGAGGCAGGTACGGACCAGGCGAAGGGGCAACTCATGCAGAAGCACAAAGGCTGAAAGGACCTGACGGTGGTTGTTCCTCCCAGATGAGTCTGGAAAGATGAGCAGGAGCTCATCACGAGTGACTCATCTGCCCGGCTTAAAGGGCCTCTTGGCACATCTGCCCGCTAGGGCACCGGTGGTTTCAAGCAGAATATGTGTTCACATTTGCCTTTTAGGATGTCTAGTCGGCAGCCAGCCAGGCAGGAACCTGGGAGGCCAGTTCGGACAGTGTCGTGCCAATGCCTGAGGGGAGGGCGCCGTAGCACTCAGACCGGAGCTAGACCACAGGGTGGCGGGACCCTGCGGCCCTTCGAGGTTGACCACAGGAAACCGGAGCCTCCAGGCTGGAGCTGAAAGAACTGGAATGAAGGCTTAGTCCCATGGGGACCCGTCCTCTGTGATTCTGCTGCCTGGACAACTTTCCAGAAAGCAGGACGTCCCCGGCCCAGCTTATGGAGGAAGAGGGTGAAACAGGGACTGCCGTCCTTCCCCAGCCGGGGACTAGATAAGCCCCAGCAGCTCTAAAACTGACACCCGCCATTCCCTCCGCTCCTCCACCGCCTTTTATTTATTTACTTACACTTTGCCCGCATAGCAGTTTTTAACCCATCAGCGTCTTAGCAGCTCCTTCGCCTGTCCGTCAGCACGAGGGCCAATGAGCGGGCGAGAGGCACTCCGTGCCCCGCCCCTGCGGCTGCAACCCGGCCAGCGCGGGCCTGCTCGACCCCGGCCGCGCGCTCGCGCTCGGGTAGCGCTCTCGTAGGGCGTCAGCTTCTATGCGCGGACGTCTGGGCCCATTCTTTTTTTTTTTTTTTTTTTCTCGGTAGGCGGGCCTCTCACTGTTGTGGCCTCTCCCGTTGCGGAGCACAGGCTCCGGACGCGCAGGCTCAGCGGCCATGGCTCACGGGCCTAGCCGCTCTGCGGCATGTGGGATCCTTCCGGACCGGGGCACGAACCTGTGTCCCCTGCATCGGCAAGCGGACTCTCCACCACTGCGCCACCAGGGAAGCCCTGGGCCCATTCTGATCACCTCTGGGCGTCAGAGACCGGGCTGACAGAGGCAGGGCGCACTCCTTCCCCGACCCCGTGCGCCCGTCCGCCCTCGGTGTACTGGTCCAAACCAGCTCGCGGGGCGGAGCCCCGGCCGGTGGACGGACGGGCGGGCAGCTCCGCCGGCAGAGGCACCACTAACGGCCTCTGTCCCTCCAGGAGCTTCCCGGAGATGCTTTCGTACTGCATTTGCAAAGCGCCCCGCCAAGTCTGGAGAGGGAGTCCGAGACGAGTTGGACCACAGTCCCAGCCCCGAGGAGTTGACAGTCTACCGGGGAGGAGAGGAAGGAAACCAGGAAAGCAATAGTAAGCAGCTATCATGAAAGAATATCAAGTGCTAAATAGATATAAGCATCAAGAACTGAGAGTTAAAAGAAGTAATTATCTGTAGGAATCGGGGTACTGTTAAATGGAGGAGGTGGCTTTCCACAGAGCCCCGAAGCATGGATAGGATTGCTGTTAGTTACCATATGGTGAACCTGTTAACACTTATGGCAATTCGTTGTATAGAAAAACTTAAAATATATTAAATTCAATACAGTGTTGTATGTCAATTATATCTCAATAAAACTGGAAGAAAAAAATAAGTAAAATAAAATGTACTAAGTTCAGATAAAGGAGTCAGAGACCCTAACTACTTGGAGGGGCCGGGGAAAGCTTTATGGAGGAATGCAAGCTTGAGTAGGATTTTGCTGGAAGGGAAAGGGAGGATGAACAAAGCACTGGGTGTATGCAAAGTTCAGCTAAAGTAAACAGAGTGTATGTTTGTGTTAAACAGAGTGCTAAGTATTCTGGCTATAAAGAATATCAAAAAATCGTCCTCAAGGATTTTTAGCTCTATGGAGACCTGAATATCTAATGATAGATATTCTCAGGATTCTTTGGGAGCCACTTAGCCTGGCTTTCAGGTAGGTCTTCTGGAGGAGGAAATAAAGCAGGAAGTGTGGTTGGTATATTTGAAGAGCCACTAAGTAGTAAAAATACTGTGGGGGGGTAGCTAGGCATGAGGTTGGAAATTTCAGGCTTTCTGGAAGATCTTGAAGCACTATAGAAGTCACGCCAACTTGGGGATAAGCACCTATAAAGGGTTGTAAAAGAAAAGTGATGTGAACAAATTTATTTTTAAAAAAGATAAATTAGATGGACAGACAAGTGGGTAGGAGTAGATGAGCTGGAGAGAGGGTAGAGACCCGCACCTGTTCAGAGGTTGAAATTGTAATTCTTCAATATCAATAAAACTGAGAAACTCTGATATCCAGAACTTTGTTAATGGTAGAGAGGATGAAAAGGGAAGGGACATCTTTTAAAGACATTTAGGAGATGGGATTGACAGAAGCTGTTTGCTCCAGGAGATGTCTAGGAAGACTCCCAAGTTTGAGTTTTGGGTAAAGGATATGCAGGATGAGGAGCAAGTTTTACAGGACGATGATGAGTGTTCAGTTTTGGAGTCCTCAGTAGTCAGTGTCCTCAGTGAAAAGCACCTTCAGGAGGAAGATGTCAGAAGCCAAATTCTAGGGAATTGATTGTGAATGGGAGGTGAAAAAGAGGAGGCAGCATGTGTAGCCTGCTCTTTGAATGTCCTTCTAAACACGACACTTGGAAGTCCCTTAGGTAGCACAGGTTCAGCTTGTTCAAAAATGAATTCCTCTGGATATATGGGGAGATGTGAAAAAGAAGATGTAGCAATAAGTGACCTGTAGAATCTGGGTGGTGGGCATATGGGTGTTCACTAGTCAGTCTGTCAACCTTTTTCTTCATTTTTGACATGAGCTTATCATCTCTACCCTCCAACTATCCCTGCCCCTGTGAACCCCATCTCAATAAACAGAACCACCATCTACTCAGTTATTTAGGCAACAGACCTGGGAGTGTCATTTAATTAGTCCCTCTCCTTCTCCCTTCTCTTCCAATCAGTCACCCAATCTCCTAAATATCTCTTACATCCAGCAACAATGGAGTTGCACCTTATACCAAGGTTAGGTTCTAAAGTCAGTACATAAGGCAAAAGTTACATAGTCAACATAACTTTTGGAAATCCCTTAAATCACTCATAAAATACAGCAGTCATGGGACTTCCCTGGCGGTCCAGTGGTTAAGACTTGGCACTTCCACTGCAGGGGGCACAGGTTGAATCCCTGGTTGGGGAACTAAGATCCCTCATGCCACACCGTGGGGCCAAAAGTAAAAAAAAAAAAAAATACAGCAGCCATGATTTTGTGTGCACAACTCTGTAAACAAAATGTATGTGCAAGTATGTATGTATAAGCCAGTGTATAGTAATGTACAGTATATAATAGGGTATACAATATAACATTAAAGTATTTTCAACTACATACAAAAATGAGATAGCACTCTCTCCAGCTGCAGGACACGTGGAAGCTCAGAGCCTGAGGCCAACACTGCCAGGACCTCAGGGGGAGAGGAGGGTCTCTGCTCTTGTACTTCAATAAACCTGTTGATCTTAAAAAAAAAAAAAAAAAAAAGTTAAATGTACACAGGGCACAAGGATGCTGCATTTCTCACCTCTTCACTGCCTCTACCCTAGTCCAAGCTTCCATCAACCCTCAGGATTATTGAAACAGCTTCCCAACTAGTCTCCTGGCTCCTTCCCCAGAGCCTGTCCAATCCACGCCCTACACTCCAGGCAGATTGACCTGCTGACTGATTTGAGCAGGTCACTTTGCTGCTTTAAAACCCCTCAGTGACATCCCACTGGTCCCTTAGGACAACGTTTAAAACACCCCCATATGGCTGCCCCAGCCTTCTGCCATCTGGCCTCTGCCCAGTCTCTGGACTTCATGTCACACACACCTCTTTCCTCTTGTTCTCTAAGCCCTGTCAGAATTGGGCTTTCTGTTCCTCAGGTTCACCATACTCTTTTGTGCTTCAGGGACTTTCCCATGCTGCTCTGTCCGCATAGAACTCTCTTACCCGCTCTGCTCAACTGGTTAACAAACACTTCTTATCTACTCAACAAACCATCCACCTCAATCCCCCAATACTTTGTTCTTGCTAAATTTTATTATTTTAAACTTTTTAATTTATTTTTATTTTTTGGCCACGCAGCATGCGGGATCCCTGAGCAGGGATCAGCCTCGTGTCCCCTGCATTGGAAGCATGGAGTCTTAACTGCTGGACTGCCAGGGAAATCCCCTTGCTGAATTTTAAATTTAGAAAAAAAACACTGTGAAAAATAATCCACATATTTAAAATGTACTAAACATAAATGTATATTTCAATGGATTATTATAAAATGAAACCCCCCTGCAACAGCGACCCAGTTCAAGAAAAAGGACATTGCC